GAGTGGAGGGCAGAGTAGCCCCAGAGCCTCACCACAATGAATCGGGCACGCGTTTTATCACACTTGCTTTCAAGGGCTCCTCCAGGGACCCCCCTGGCTGCTGCGCGAACTTTTCTATATGGGGGCACACGAGGAAAGGCCTCGGCCCCACCCCCGCCCACAGCCCTTGCTGCAGAGCCTTTCCTGAATGGCTCCTCCTCTAATTATGTGGAAGAAATGTATACTGCCTGGCTTCAGGACCCGAAAAGTGTCCATCAAGTGAGTAGTCTAACTCTGTTCTTTTGGATGTAGTAGCAAATTTTCTCAAGGCTTGGTCGTTTTTTGTTTGGAAGGATTTCTTTTTTGTATATTTTATTGCCAAAAACAAGAAAATGTAGAAGTTCTGAGTTTTATAAAACTGTCATACAGGAATATAGTACAAATGTGTATGTCAAACCCTGCATTGCCTCAACAACTTTGTGACAGCAACTACTGATCAGTTGTCAAGCCACTTTACAGGAGAACTTCAGAGTTCAGATCTGCCAAAGGTCCATGAACTCCTGATGTTATTGTTTATTTATTTACACGTTATTGTGCTTCAGAGCTGTTACAATAATTATCCTCTTGATTTCTTATTTTGATCTGTGAAAGTGATAGAGAAATGAATGAATGAATGAATCAAGCAATCAGGGAATGAGAGCTGATAAAAATTATATATGTATATATTTATTAATTAATATTGATATCATAATAAGGTGCCATGCAAAACTGTTTTTTATGTAGTTTGGATTTTTGAGTTTGCAGCATTGCAGTACACATTCCTCTCGGCCCAAAAGTCCTGTAGCTATATTGAATAGAAAAATATGTATTATGATAATGAACTTTCTTCAAGCTGAGATTGATAAAGGGATATTCTAAGTAATTTTAGGGTTTGCAGATGACTTGCAGAATTTTTGGTTAGAGTTGCCAATTTTTTTTTTTTTTTTTTTTCTGTATTTGGAGGGGGTTCCTCGTAACCCTTCATCTTTTCATTGCACCCCCCTCCCCCACCATCCCTTTCCTAATTCCCAACTCGGCATTCTCCATTATGCTGAGGATTATATTAGAGGAAAAGAACTGACCAATGGCAGCAAAGGGGCCGGGTGCTGAAATGCTGGAGCTGGTTGCTAAAAAAAGACGGTGACCTTGATAATGGTAGACAGCCCTGGTGCTACTGCAGAATACTGACGCTCTCACAGGGTGGAGTCCAATCAATAGTTTAGGTGCCTGTGTCATGGCTGCATTGATGTAGTTGTCACACTTTAGGTAGAGTGGTGTGTCTGTTGAAAGGGAAGAGGGTGGAAGAGGATGAGGTGGAAGAGGAAGCGGAGGTGAAGGTCAGGGATGTTGTGGATGGAGATGGAAGATGAAGGATAGGAGGTGGAGGATGGTGATGCAGATAGAAGCCAGGAGGACAGTTGATTGAAATATAGTGATCACCATCTTCATAATCTTCATCACCTTCAGTCACTATTGTCATGATGAATACCATTAGTAGGAGAGTGAGTCCATATTCATTATGCTTGTCCCTCAATATGTCCCCCTTCCTCTCTCTCTCTCTCTCTCTCTCTCTCTCTCTCTCTCTCTCTCTCTCTCTCTCTCTCTCTCTCTCTCTCTCTCTCTCTCTCTCTCTCTCTCTCTCTCTCTCTCTGTCTTTCTCTCTTTCTCTTTCTCTCTTTGTCTTTCTCTCTTTCTCTCTTTGTCTTTCTCTCTTCCTCTCTTTGTCTTTTCTCTCTTTCTCTCTTTCTTTCTCTCTCTCTCTCTCTCTCTCTCTCTCTTTCTCTCTCTTTCTCTGTCTTTCTCTCTCTCTCTCTCTCTCTCTCTCTCTCTCTCTCTCTCTCTCTCTGTCTTTCTCTCTTTGTCTTTCTCTCTTTCTCTCTTTGTCTTTCTCTCACTCTCTTTCTCTTTTTCTATCTTTCTCTTTCTCTTTTTCCATCTTTCTATTTCTCTTTTCCCATCTTTCTCTTTCTCTTTTTCCATCTTTCTCTTTCTCTTTTCTCTTTCTCTTTCTCTTTTTTCTTTCTCTTTCTCTTTTCCATGTTTCTCTTTCTCTTTCTTTCTCTCTCTTTGTCCATCTTTCTCTCTCTCTTTGTCCATCTTTCTCTTTCTCTTTTTCCATCTTTCTCTTTCTCTTTTTCCATCTTTCTCTTTCTCTTTTTCCATCTTTCTCTTTCTCTTTCTTTCTCTTTCTCTTTTCCATCTTTCTCTTTCTCTTTTTCCATCTTTCTCTTTCTCTTTTTCCATCTTTCTCTTTCTCTTTTTCCATCTTTCTCTTTCTCTTTTTCCATCTTTCTCTTTTTTCTTTTTACTCTTTCTCCTTTTCTCTTTTTCTTTCTCCTTTTCTCTTTCTTTCTTTCTCTTTTCCTCTTTCTTTCTCTTTTTCTTTCTTTCTTTCTCTTTTTCTCTTTTCTCTCTTTTCTCTCTTTTTTTCTCTCTCACCCCCCTCTCCTTCCCCCTCCCTCTCCCTCTCCCTCTCCCTCTC